TAACAACAATTTAAACAATTAAAATATTCATTTTATTTTTTTCCATGAAAATTTATTCAAAATTATCTTTTTGCCGAACTAAAACATTAAAATAAAAAATTAAAATTAGTAAATCAATTAGTTAAATATACTAATATGTAAACTAAATTTTTAAATATAAAATACTCTAAAAATATTTATACGATTATTATAAAAAATTTATCTAAATACAGTGTGTCTTCTAACGTTATCTGGTACACTTTGGACTATTAATATTGGAATATTTGGGAAAACAGTGCCAAAAATCAAATAAACCGTTTTAAGTTTTTCCCATATTATACCTAATGCCCAATGTTTAGACAAAATTAAATTTATTTTTAATAAACTGAATAACTTTAAAAGACAGACTCTGTTATAGTTTTTGTTTTTTATTTTTTTTTAAAAACAAAACAATAAACACAACTTTTAAAATACAAACAAATGATATTTCTTGTATTTTAGTTTGTGTTGAAAGATGTCAGTTTTTTATATAATTATAGTAAACTTTATGTGGTTTTTCTCACATACAACAAGTTGTCAATGTAATTTATCTACATGATTTCTAAGCACTTTTTTATTAAAAAAGCTGCTCGTACTTGTCTAAATCTGAACCATAAAATCCTTCGAGGAATCAAATAAAATGTTGTTTCTGGTTAAGAAAACAATGACTATATATATCTCTTGTGTCGCCAGCGATGTTATTTTTTCTTTAATAATTTGAAACATTTTTTTGTAATTGCAACAAGTTTTTCTGCTATTAACAAATATATTAGTGACACTTTGGGATGAACTTACGTTTGTTCAAAAGTTGTCGATCAATTTGTTTGTGCACTCTATTTTCAGTTTGTCAATGAACGTCTTCAAACCTAACAAGATCAGTATCAACAACTTTTTCTTCGTTTTCTGAAACTTCGAAATTGGACACAGCTTCTTAACCTTAAAATGTCGGTAGAGTAATTAAAATAACATTTATTTTTAGACAATTTAAAAAATATGAAAAAAAAACAAAAAAAACTTAAAAATTCAAGTGTGATTCACTGTTAACAAATTCTCGGAAATTGAGACTTAACGATATCAAAATTTGATTTGTATTGTTCTGATATGCAATTCAAACTTGTGTATATTTCAAATGGTGCGTTGACATTATTAATTTAATGATATGATTTTTGTTTTTTTTATTTTTTCGAATTTAAGGGATTCATGAGGATTGTTAATTTTTCTGAGGATGGTAAATATCTTAAACATAATTTCTTTATTTTGGATTTTTTTGCCTAAGATCAAAAAGGTATATTTTGAAACACGTGATTTTCTTTAAAAATGCTATTTATGGATTTTTGAAAGATGATTCTTTCAGTTGATTTTTACAAAAAAACAATCTATTTCTATTTTCTGATTTACCAGTTGACTAAAGGCGATCACGGTGAATCTATTTATGTTGATTATTTTGGCTTTTTTACTCAGGAAATAAATATAGAACGATTATTAATAAAAATGAAAAATTTAGAAAATAATTTTTTACCTTATAAAAATACAACATACTTTGCTCCAAATATAAAAAACAAAATAATTGCAAAATAATATTTTATATTTTGGATCAGTTTCTCAACATTTTCTGTTATAAAAAATAATTCTTGTTACTTTTTTAAAAAAAGTTTAATATATTTACTAAATTATATAGTAAAAATAGTTATTTTTTCAAATATATATAAAAACTGCAATTGAGTTGTGTGAACGGGGAATTTGTATTTATTGATAGTAAAGCGTTTCCGTTGATCTTGCGGAGACTTTGGATACATCTCCGTAGCTAGTTAGTTACAATTAACACAACAATGAAAGTCCTCCGCTATTCTTTATTAAAACTTTTTTGTTAAGAAAAAAAAACGTGAAAAAATTTGAAATAGTATATTCAGTCGTAAATAATCTATAATACAAAATCATCATCTATATATAAAATATGCATTTTTCATCATCTAAATATAGAACAATTAACATAAAAAAAGAAAAAAAACACATTGTGCTAATAATTTGTATTATTATATATAATATCGTAATAGTACACCATTCATAATCATTTATTATATCATTTAAATTATTGATTATAACATGTTTATCTCATTAATCAATGGTAACACCAACAATAAAAAATTGAATTGTCAATAACACTGTTTGATTGTTATCACAATTTGTTATTTTTGCTATTCATCATAAATTGATTGTTAAAATATTTGATGTAACTAAATTTTTATTGTTCGACATTTTATTATAAAATATCATATAAACCAGTGATAGAGCTTAATACAATGATATAACATCAATACATTAACGGTTTTAACATTTTTTAATGTGAGTTATTATTAAGTTAAATTATTCATTGATATTTTAAACAAAAAAATTCGAACAAACAAATTGTGTTATAATTACTTTACATGAAACAGAGAAAAATGAATGTTTTGGAAATTGTTAAATATTATTTTTTTAATATTTGTAATGTAAAAATGTTATTTATTTACAAATATTTGCATTAACAATCATTTTATCAAAAATTACAATATACAACAATAATACATATATTCCAATTATGAATTTAACATTCAAAATAAGTTTTATATACTTTTTAATGAAACCGAATTAAATCTATTTGAAAAACACTCAAAATGGTTGTATCGTAATATAACAAGCTTTAATATTCATTTTCTTGATTGAAATAACACGAGAATGATATAAACATAAATTACAAGCAATATAAATTTGATTAAAAATTTAAATTTATCTTATTTTTTGTTATTAATGTTTACAAACAAATACAGAAAAACTTTCAATGAATTTGTGAATTATCAGAATTGTTTATTAAAAAAACAAACATAACCTATCTTTAACAATATAGTTTGAAATACAAATACTACACCTTTGAAAACCGTTTGAATATTGTTTTAATTTTGAACAAATACCTGTACATATTATGTATGATAAAAATAATGTTAATTAAACACAATAAACATACTCTCAAAAAATAACAAATTTATCAATAATTGGGTACTTTTGACAATTCATATTAAAGTATGTTTATCTGTAAACAATTGATTATTTAACAAATAAATTTAAATACGGTAAAGGGTTAAATGTATCAAGTGTGTCAAGTTACTTTAAAATAAGTTTTCATTTATTGATCAAATTACAAGTGTTGTCATAATTTAAATGATATAATAAATGATAATGAATGGTGTACTATTACGATATTATATATAATAATACAAATTATTAGCACAATGTGTTTTTTTTTCTTTTTTTATGTTAATTGTTCTATATTTAGATGATGAAAAATGCATATTTTATATATAGATGATGATTTTGTATTATAGATTATTTACGACTGAATATACTATTTCAAATTTTTTCAC